TTCATGTTTATTTCACAATTCTATCTGATTGTTTATAATGAGAGGTGCTTGATTAGCATGCTAATTGGATAGAGTCTTGGCTCATTATATAAATTTTATTTTGGGGGTGGTCCTTCCTTGTGTTTTCTCTGTCCATTGTTGAGAAGTTTAATATTAGTAGACCTGCCTGATTCACATATTGTAGTATCCCAGATATCTTAACCATCCCTGGGTCCATGATTCAGCGTCAGTGGGTCTGTGTACTACCTAAAATTGTACGCACATTTTGTGCACGTGTTCATTTATGTAATTTTCTAGGAGTAGCCACAACCAAACTGGAAAGGGTTAAGAACCATTATTGTAAGAGTACCTAAGTACTCTTCTTCAGGAGCTTGCTTCCTGGAATATTTAAAGGTTCGAATGAAAAACAGAAGCCTGTTTCCACCAAGACAGGGCACCTCGTTCGCCCACAAGGGCAGACAGGAAGAGAGCCCGCCATCAGTCAATTCTCCATTGATCAGTTTGTAGTCATTTGCTGCAGGAGGCCCGAGTCAGGAGTGCTCAGCTAGGTGTCATTCTCTGCCCCGTCCTCCCAGTCCTGACAATGAGAATGCTCAGTGGAAAAATGAGTCAGCACTATACAAGCTGAAAAATTTGCCTTGTCAACAACTTTTTCTCCAGGCTTTGAGAAAGGAGCGCTTTGCTCCTCCATGGCAAATGGAAAACTAAAACACAGAACTATTTAATGTGAATATGGACTCCAATGTGCTGGATAATTCTGAACCATACTTATATTAAGGTGGTAAAAAGCCTTATAGAACTGAGCCAAATCTTAAGTCTTTCCTCCTAGTGTCTGGACTCCTTGAGTACTCCATTATGTTAATAAAACTAGCCTTAAATTGGGAGTATTCTCAGCAGCTCTTTCAGCCTTGCATTCTATTGATGTGATTTCCAACTAAATATATTTTATCTCTAGGCACTCTTCTTTTTCATTGCCCTGACTCCAGACCAAGCCACTGTCATGTGTTTATCCCATTGTCTCTCCATTTCCACACTTATTTTTATTTAACTCAGGTCCACAAAGTAGCCAGAATTTTTAAATGCTTCTCTGAACACATCACTCTCTTGCTTAAAACACTTCAATGACTTCTCATTATAATGCATATAAAATTGAAAATTCTTAGCACAGCTTTCACACTGGTTCCTGTCAATTTATCCTACTGTCCAGCCCACTCACTAAGCTAAATCCATCTAACCTACCTTCATTTGCCTCTCAGATGAGCCAAAGTCTTTCACCTCAAATCTCTGCACACATCTCTAATTCTTTCTCTCCCTTCATATCTGTTTATATAGCATTTCCACAGAGATGCATTTCATACTGGTATTCTCTTTCAAAGCAATCTCTTCTTTTCCTACATAGTACTTATCACAATTTATGATGAATAATGGTGCTCATTCCTTCACCCAAGGAGTGCTACTGAACTTCCACTATATTCCAGGGACTGTTTTAATCATGCAGGCTAAGGATTATCCTTTTTATTTAAGATCTGGCTATAAACCTCAGGAAGGCAATGCCCAAGCAGGACCCAGGACCCTGGGTACAGTTCTTAACTGTACACACAGTGCTTAAGATAATGCTGGGGCAGCGTTGATAGTCAATAAATAGTGGCAAGAAGTGAATGGGTTTAGCCTCTGTGTATTTTAAGTTTGAGATGATGTTAGAACCTGCTGCAACTTGCTTGCTAAATCCAAGGATCAGAAGATGAATTCTCTTTACCATTTCACAAAGTTGAAGGTGGCATTTTTACTTTAGGGACATACTTTGCCCTCACTGTGCCCTCTAGTTGAAACTGAACTTTTGAGAACATTTAAGTAGACAACAGCTGACATAAATAGAAAAAAAGAAACTCTAGTATTCAAGAGACTAAAGAAAGGAAAGCTCTGGGGAATGATGTGAAGGGGGATGGATTTATGTACTTGTGAAAAGAACACTAGACATTTAAAATGATTTTATTAACACTTTAGAATTATTAAATGAAATTTAAGTGATGAGATAATCTCCAGTCATTACATTATACAAATGAATTTGAGTTCAAGTGCATTGTTGAGAGAACAGGAGAGTTATAATATTAAGTAATTATATAGGAAAGCCAAAAATGACATTATGGATTCATCTTTACATTTTTATTAAATAGCTGCTCATGTTTTAATATGAAGAGTCTTGCACTGGCTGTTCATCTGCAACTATTTTCGGGGATAAGTGTGTAAGACTCAAAACACTGGCATAAGATTTGACCTTAATTTAGTGTTTTACTTGACTCAGGGAAATGGGATTTTTTTTTATTATAATAATTTTATAGTTTTGCCATCATATTACATGCATAAAAGTTTATTTATGCATTCATCACATGACCTTGTTTCTTTCCTTTGGTTCTTAAGCCATTATTTGTTTGTTTGTTTTTACAGTTCAGGGAAGCACCCTCTTATTTTAGCACTACAGGAGTTGAGAATGCATCTATGTTCTCTTTACTCATAGTACACACGCTTTTAAAAATAGGTTCCATAATTTCCTCTCTCAACTTACATCTCTGCATGGTTCAGTTTCAACGGATTTGGTCTGTTCTTCTGGAATGATATGCTTTTAAATTTATTTTCTGTGTTTAATAGGCTTTATTTTCTGATGGTCTAGATCAGGTAACCATATTTAAAATTTTTAATTTCTAAATAAAAGAATTGATGTTCTTTGGAACAGCAGAGGGCTCAAGCATGAAAATGGCTCCCCAACCTTCTGGCCTGCATATGAACTAGATGAAAAAGACTTAAAGTGCTTCCATGCTGCTTCTTTGCACTGCTCTTAACAATAAAACCATCCCTGCATCCAATTGCTCATGACATCCAGTGCTGAGCCGCAGTCTAGGAGTGTATCCCAGTTGTAAACAGAAGAGAACGTAGATGTCTCCTAATCTTTGTATAGGTCATTTTTGATTCTTTCAAAGATGGGTGAGAGGACTGCTGAAAATGTTCATTGGTTTCTGTGTGACCTTTAGGACTGCTGGTGTCTTCTATTTATCCAAACATGTGGCAATGGCCTGGAAATACTTTATGACCCAGTGCTCTTTCTAAAATCTGTTTATTATTCCTCCATAGAGAGTTGGTAGATAGACCTTAAATACATTTTGAACTATGGGCTAATAGGGTTATCTATGTCAGTGAATTAAATACAGAATTATTTTTGAATATATATATATAAGTCTAAGTGACCAAATGACTGAATGACCTAATGACCAGTCACTATGACGTGCACTGACCAGCAGGGGCAGATGCTCAATGCAGGAGCTGTCCCCTGGTGGTCAGTGTACTCCCATAGCAGGAGCGCCACTCTGCTGATCAGTGTGAGCCAGATGCAGGGCTCACGGCTGGTGAGCACTGCTGCAAGCCTCTCCAGAGCCAGACTTACTGGGCATGAGCCCGCAGCAGGTGCAGCGGGGCCAGGATGAGCGGGGGTGGTGGGTGGACCCCACCAGTGCACAAATCCATGCACTGGGCCTCTAGTATATATACTAAACTAGAACCAGACTCAATAAAAAGTGTTTTATTTATCAGTTTAATGTCAATAAGGTAAGGTAATATATTTCTACAGACAGTAGGTAAAATCAGAACTAATGTTTTATATCTTCATGTCTTGGTTTTAATTTTGAGCCATACTGTTTTCCTGAAGGGAAACACTTTTATTTCAGAACCAAGAAGACACCAGGCTAGAATAAAAATTCTTCCAAATAATACATATTCTTTTCAGATGTTCCTGCAAAAGTCAATGAGAGAAATGTATGTTAATTTAATATGGCTTAGGCATGCTGCCATGAGTTAGTGATCATGAATATTAATTTCTGTGCCTAAAAGATGAATAAGGCCAGTGAATTTTTAATGGACCAAAGAAAATATTTTTAAGAAGGAAGACATGGTCTGAATGAAATACACCTATTTGCAGCAATCATTTTTTAATTCCACCTATTAATGTCCAAACTAAAACATTTGGACTCACCTGTTTTTAGGCTGATGGATTTTCTGTATCTCTCACAATGTTATTAGCACTAGCTCACAATGAGACTGAACTACTGCTACTAATACTTAGAGTTTTGGAGAGATTAAGATAGGTTCTACAGCTATAACTACTGCAGTAAAAAATTAGGCATAAGGGGAAGTAATGTAATCCAACAATTCTTTAGCCATTCTTTATTTTAACAAAGTCAGAATTTAGAACTTAATTTTAAACTCTTGTAATGTTCTTGAGGTTTTTCTTGAACATATTTTCAATATATTTACTAAGAGGAACAGTTACTTTTCTGGATTTTTCTGTATAGTATATGAACAACTGTGCATTTTAAGTTTTCTTTTCTAAGTAATTCAGCAATAATAAATCAGTCTGCTGTAATAACTCAAATATATAGTAATATAGATATTAGAATTGAATAGTTAATACCTACTAATGGCTTTAAATAAGCCAATATTCATATCGAACCCCCACTGTTCACACGTTTATATTCTGAATTAGGGAAGACTCATATTTGTAAAGATACTTCTATGCTAGTTTGTGTGAAAGGGAGAGAGATCCCAAGTAACACTTGCTTCCCTAATTAGAATATGGTACCAAGAGAACAAGAGTATGTGTTTATGTTATATTTAAAGAATTTAATTTAACTTCAGTATTTATAACATGCATTTATTTTCAGTGATTTTTAAAGTTTAAAATGATCCATTAATTTAAAAAACACAATATAGTAACAAACTTTCCCTTATGGGGAAGAGGCAGATCAAGTGGAGAGGGTGTTTGAGAGGGTTACTGAAAAAAGAAATCTAAGAATATGAATCACTAAACATATGGGTCAGCAGTCTCTTCAAATCCTGAGTCCGATGATACCAAGGTGTATGACTTATTTCTGCTGTCATTAGATGATTTAATGTTGTTCAGTGTCTTCTGATGAAACTAAATTCATCAAGTGTGATATATATTACTTGAGTAGTTTAGCTTCTTAATAGGTGAAAGTTATTTATTTCAGTTTCATAGGTTACAAAATATTAATTCAGAGAGTTTTAATAACAGAGAATCCATACCAGCTGAATTACTTTTGACTCAGAATAAATGAGTCTGAAACCCAGCCATTACTTTAAATGAATTCTTATTGACTTTACATACCATATTCTTTGACAAGAGGGACTGCCAATAAACATTAGGCTAAGAAATATCACTTGATAAATTCCATTTGCCAATTGTCATTTATATTTAAAATTCCTTGTAACATATGTTGAAAAATAGAACAGGATGTCAAGAACATCACCACTTGAAACTTATTTTAGTGGGTGGTAAAATTCATAATTAAATAACTAAGAAATAAAATAATTTATTTTCAAGAAGAAAGAAGCCCACTTGTTAGTGCTCGATGATAATATATGGATAGCATATAGAACATCATCTATGGGTGACATGAAAAAGTTGCATAATGATTGGAATGTGGAAAAGTAAAATCTTGACAGTAGAAGAGGCTTAGAAAAATAGCTTTTTTTTCCTAGTTGGAAAGAAAACCGGATAGAGTTAATGATTGTTTTGATAGCTATTGAATTGATCATGATGACCAGCTGTGCATTCTATCTTCATTGATGAAAAACAGGAATAGGATTTGAATTGTATTATGGGAGGATTTAATTTACTTACAGTGAATCATAGGTGATCCATTAAGTTATTAAAAGATGTTTTGTCATTAATAATTTTTTACCATAGCATTTTATCTCTTTATAAATTTTCCCTTGAGCAGTTCTTATTTATACTAAATTTTCCCTTGAGCAATTCTTATTTATACTATAGTTTTTTGTTATAAGACTGGATAGAGGAAACTAATTTTACCAAAGAAACATAAAATTCACTTTAAGTTCAATTTATGGTTCAGCTTTTCAATTGAAATAAAAGTAATGTCTTTTATATTTTCATTATGAATTATTTTAAATAACAAAATATAGAGGATAATATAAAGACCCCCAAGAACTCTTAACCAAAGTTAATGACCATAATATGAGAAATCTTGTTTTACTTACAGCCCTCTGCCTTTCAGTTATTTTGAAGCAAATACCTGACATCATGACATTTAATCTGTTAATATTTCAATGTGTATTTAAAAAATAATTCCCTTGTTTTAAACATAACCACAGTATCATCATATATAAACAACAATAATTCATTAATTTTTTCATACATTTTTTATAGTTTGCTTGAATAAGGATAAATATAAGGTCCATATATCTCAACTGGTTAAGATATCTCTTAAGGCTTTTATAATTTAACTAGAGGCCTGGTGCATGGGCTGATCAGGCCTTCCAGTTGCTGGCCAGGTCTTCCTTCATTCCACGCCACCCCCTGGTGTTCAGCACATGTCATAGCAAGCGGTCTCCCGGTCAAACTCCTGCAGAGACAATTTGCATATATAGATGTAGAGTTGTTTACTGTTTGAGTTTTGATGATTACAGCATGATGGCTTTTAGCTTATTACTCGTTGCCTTCTATTTCTTATAAATTTGTAGTTTGATCTAGAAACTTGATGGGATCCAAATTCACTTTTTTGACATAAATACTTCATAGGTGGGTTGAATATTCCCTTTTGGAGACACATAACTTCCGGTTGTGTCTCTTTCTGAGTTATTAGCAGTATTATGATTGTTGACTTGATACATTAATTCACTAGGTGCTACAAGGTTGTTACAATTCTAAATCTATATTCATTTATCATGTAGTAGCTGGAGTCTTTCCAAAGAGCAAAACCTCCTTTAATTAATTATTATCCTGAATCTAGTTCAGCCATGGCAAACTACGGCCCGCGGGCTGGATCCGGCCCGTTTGAAATGAATAAAACTAAAAAACAAACCAACAAAAAACGTACCATTTTATGTAATGATGTTTACTTTGAATTTATATCAGTTCACACAAACACTCCATCCATGCTTTTGTTCCGGCCCTCCGGTCCAGTTTAAGAACCCATTGTGGCCCTCGAGTCAAAAAGTTTGCCCACCCCTGGTCTAGTTCCTATAGGAAAGGCAGGAAAATGCTTGTCTCTCTTCATTTACCAATTTTCAAAGTAATAACTTGGCTCTCTAGCATCTACAATGGCAACCAAATATTTATCATTACAAATTATGTATTTAAAATGTTATGTATTTAAGCCTTTTGCAGGTACTATTATTCTTATTGATATTAAAATTGCCCCATCTTTATTTAAAATTAGAGGCCTGATGCACAAAAATTCATGCAAGAGTAGGCTTTCCTTCCCCCAGCTTCCCTCAGGCACCCGGGCTTCCCTCTTCCTGCCACTGGCGGACCCCGGCTGGCTTTGCCCCAGCCCCGAGCTTCCTTAGAACAGACGTCCAGAATGATGTCCAGAAGACGTCCAGTCTAATTAGCATGTTACCCTTTTATTAGTATAGATGATCTTCACCAAACTGACTCCTGAGTCCTTCGACACAATGCTGGTAGTTTTGGAGAGCTTCCTTGCTTTCTGGTATCACAAGATGTTCTAGGCTCATTTTATATATTCTTGGCCTATATGGAATATATACAATTTTTAATGATACTTGTTAGGTTCAAATAGTTTTCAACAACATTTAGAATATGCATATATTTTTGCTATAATTAATAGGTTTAAATAAATTTAGTACATGAATAAAGCTTATAGAGTGATGTTATCACTTTAGGTAAATCCCACATTTTTAAGGTAAAAAGGGATCCATATTCTTTTGGGAGAGATGCAAGTCTTTTTGGAATCAGGAAGATGATGTTATGATTCTGAATTCTTTTTGGATCTTTAATTTGTGTTGTTCGTTAAGCTATTAATAGAAATGATGGCCCTAGCCGGTTTAACTTGGTGGATAGAGCGTCAGCCTGTGGACTGAAGGGTCCCAGGTTCGATTCTGGTCTAGGGCACATGCCGGGGTTGCGGCTCAATCCCCAGTGGGGGGTGTGCAGGAGGCAGCTGATCAATGATTCTCTCTCATCATTGATGTTTCTATCTTTCTCCCCCTCTTCCTTCTTCTCTGAAATCAATAAAAATATTTTAAAAAATAGAAATGATGGATTTGAGTTGGCTGTGAAGTGTTGTAGCATGTGAAAGGCAGTGTATGTACTGGCTTTCTAAGTGCTAAACTGCAGATTTAACTTAAGGAAATAAATTCCCAAGTTCTCAATCCGCATATGAGGAAATATATGGATATTAAAAATATAAATAAGATTTTAAGGTACATGATGCTATAAACACAGAAGTAGTAAAATGGTTTTACATTTGAGAAGTTAAGTAAATGTAACAAATTTGTGCTAGAAAACTAAGTTCTACCATCTGGTTAATAAGTGAACATATTAATCTCTATGGGATCAGTCCCAATAACAAAACATGAAACAGAAGGCTGAGAAAAAACAATTTCAGAGTAGAAATATAGGAGGAAATAGAGATTATTGGTTCTTAGACTCAAATGGCATACATAGATTCACCTCACTGAAAATGTACTCAACTTCTTCAGGATATCATTATGACATAACAGACTATCATACATAATGAAACATTTTCTTTCACTCTGTCAGAGAAATTTTTGTAATGTCTTTGATTTAACTCAAACCAGAGATACTGAAGACATTATGCTTTAATAATATCCAAAAAAAATAGAGCTAAAAGAAGGGGATACTGTTCCCCCTCCAAACTATGACTAGTCAGAACAATAGCATTTAGATAAAATGTGATGTGAAAATATGTTGAAGTTGATCAAGATCATAGCTGTAGCTTTTTAGAAAAGTCAACATCAATTTAGTTGCACAAAAAATATCAGCCTTAAACATATATTCACCCCCTGGTTGGGTAGCTCAGTTGGTTACAACATGGTCCAGATAAATCAAGGTTGCAGGCTCAATCTCCAGTCAGAGTACATACAAGAATCAGCCAATGAATGTATAAATAAGTAGAACAACAAAACAGTGTTTCTCTCTCTCTCTCCCCCCTTCTCTCTCTCAAACCACGTGTGTGTGTGTGTGTGTGTGTGTGTGTGTGTTTGCTGTCAATTTTACAACACAATTCTGACTTATTTGAGTATTTTTATCATTCATCATTTTTTCTTTGCCTTCCTAGGCTTATCAACACTGCAAGCTGTGCTGGATTCTGCTGCTGAAAAGAAAAA